ATAAATTCAAACGAATATCAAGCAGGAAAAAACAATACTTGATTCTGGTTGTGCAAATTGGGTGATTAAATCTTTTTGTCCTATGACCGTTCAAACACAAAAGAGATTTCAACACACGTCAAAGTTCCCTTCAGAATCAATTTTAATGGCCATTAAAAGGAAAGAACATTTTTTGACGTGCAAAGCGAATACATCAACTTATGAAAAATGCTTCACCATTCACGTTATTTCCTATTTGCACCTTGTCAATTTCTAGGTAAAACATCTTTGTTTTGGAAGGTTTCATTGAATGAAATGCATAACTGAATATGAATGTTGCATCAATTAAGCCATTGCTTATAACTCTGCTAAGGTACGAACATTGAATGAAACATGCATGATTAGGTTTTAAGCACGATTTAAGTGAGTTTATTCCTCCACTGATTAACTGAGACACGCGTTATTAATGATTAGGTTTTTATCTTACATTATTTAAACTCTTTAAGTCAGTATCCTATTAGAAAAGAGAAGAGAAGATAATATTACTCATGATTAGAGAAAAGAAACGTCATTTAACAAAATCAGTTATTAATCATCATTTTATTTCATCTGAACTAGAGATAAAAATAAAAGTGTCGAAGATCCAATTCAAAATCATCGTTTGATCCGCATTTTGGCCTCATAGCTTGTTAACTTCAAACATTTGAAGTTTTCATCTCAGAAACTTTATACCTAGAAGACCCAAAAAACAATATTCCAGATCAGTGTGTCTTTCAATCCCCACTAAACAAAACTCCATCCTTCACCAAATTTCACCTTCCTCCACCATTTCTTTTCTCTAAAAAGCTCCATAACCTACCTTCTCATGCTCAATATTTTTTTCAATTTTTCTTTTTCTTTCACAGTGTTACCATATTTCTCATCACTTTTCCCGATCTTTTTATAGTCAGAAACTTTACATCAACTTCCCTCAAAGTCACCCATAAAACATTGGTCACAACACATCAGTTTGTCATATTCTACCTCTGCATGTGTGGGTTGCTTCCAAGGCAGTTTCCACCGTTGGATGAATCACATTTTTCTATTTTACGATCTCACGTTTCCATCCGTCTGAGTTGTGCAACCCTCCCTATGCACCAACATTCACAAGCTTCACGACAAAGTTGCAAGTTGACTATGCAATACTGATAAGATGAGTTTCAATTCCAAAAAATACATTGAATTAAGTGGTCCAAAATATTTATTAAATAAAATTATATTATTTTAATTGTGATATATTTTATATTTTCTTTTCATATACAAGATTAATAATTCTAGATTCTATTTAAAGGTATTTTATTTGTAAAATGAAAGATATAAACTAATTTTCTTACTGTCCCTTTCCTCTTCTCAATGGCTTTCAGTGGTAGTCTTAGTCTAACTTCCTTGTTTGTTTTCATGCATGATGTATATACATCTTAATTTTTTAAAGTTACTATCTTCAATATTTTTGGTATTTCTTTACCGTGCCTTTTTGGTGGGGGACAGAATTTTGTTCATATATATCAAGGTTAAAAATTATGTTCTATTTTCCTCACTTAAATAATTTCATATTAAATTTATCCTTTTTTTAAAAAAATTTATAAAACAGTTCATTGAACAGAGATGCACGATCACATAATATTGAGGTATAACAAGATGACGTTGTTATATTTAAGAAACTTTAATTTATATTAAAAAAAATTAATAACGTACTTCAAATTTTAATAGGAGCATAAAAGAAGAAAATGTTTTCACTTTCACTCTCATAATATATATTTTATATTTATAAAAAGTAAAATAGATTTTTTTTGAAATCATTCATGTACCAACTAGCAAACACAGCACATGAGACCAACATAAACAAATCTGGTACAATGCATGAGAAGGAAGAAGACTGGACTTATATTAAACTTTGGAAAAGTATTTCTATAAATTTATATGATAACTAATTTCAATACATTAAACCAAGAAAGAAAAATTGTTGATGAATATATTTGTCTACTTTCTTAACTTAATACAAACAAGAAACATTAATCACTGTCACCCTTATGTTAATAGTGATCTACCCCAGAAGTTGGGAAGTACTAGTCAATTTCTTAAAGAATGATGTTTTGATCTTTTTCTAAAATCAAATTAGATACTACTGAATGTCAAACAAATGTTATATGATTTTTGTTATAAAAATATTTTTTATTGTTAAACTATGTGATTATTTTCATGTCATTTAATTTTTTCAAACAATATTTGAGAAGGAAAATAGTTTTTACAAGTATGTTTCAATTGACAAATACTGAAAACATAATAACAGTAATGTTATTTTTCAATTTAACATTATTTGACATGTTTTCTAAATTATTATTTATTATTGAATAAATTTTATATAACTTTTAAATAATTAGTGAAATTAAATCTATTATTTGATAATTTTATGACATGTTATTATCAAAGAATTAAAACCCATCATAATAACTAAAATTGATAAAATAAGGTATATTTTTACAAAATAGAAAATAAAGGCATGTTTGGTTGACCTTGTTTTGGTCAGAACAAGGTATTGGCTGGGTCATAGATCTATATGCCGTTATTCATATGTATGGCATCATTAGTCATCTTATGCAGTCAATTACAATCCTTATCTTTTTCATTTATCAACTATTATAATCATAACAATTTCCAAATAAATTCATAATCCAACTTCAATTTTTATTCTTTTAAATCAGAGTATATTTAGTTTAGGGTTGAATAGATTAATTAGTAGCTGAGACCTACCGTGTTAATTAGTCACCAATGGTACCCACTTTATATAGCCGCCTCAAAAATAAGTAATCTTAAAAAAAATATACACATGTCAATATGATTCCTTCTTTCAAGTGCTCGTGTGAAATAGTACTGTATTATCCTAATGTTTCCAAATTTAATTATATATTTTATTATTATAAAGATATAAAATTTATCTTTATATTTAAACAATATTCACTTCAATGTTTATAAATATTATTTTAATTTATTTTAATATATATATATATATATATATAAATCTTTTGGTATTTAAATTGACTAAAAATATATTAAAAATAATATATATATATATATATATATAGACTAAAAATATTTATTTTTAAATATAAAGACTAAAAAGTAAAGTTCATTTAATTTTAAAACTAATTAATATAGGAATTCAATATTTTTTTACTTATCTGTTTAGAATTTAACATATAAATAGACAAATTTAAAATATAAAAATAATTTTTGAAACTTTTATAGTAAAAGTATTGAAATTTTACTTATTTTATTTACAAATTTAACTTTTACTGGTAATTAATGTAAAAAGATTATCAATGATAATGATGTCATATTAAAAATTTATAAAAAATCAATAAATATATTATTTTGTAATTAAATAATATTTTTTTACATGGTGATTATATTTAAATTAAATCATATAATCAAAACTTATTTATTTTTAAACTGAACTTATGTTGTTTTATAGTTAAAATGGCTAGTTATTTTTTTCTTCCTCTAACTATTCACTCATTTAAGAGTTATTAAACTAAACACTGTTATATTTCTTTTTAACACCCTTTGTTTTACTTATAATTTGTTTATCGGTTACAAAAATATATTGACTGGATAAAAGATAATGGGATTTTTTTTGTTATCACATGTAATTAGCGTGTGAGTGGTAATGTATTTTAAAAAATTGTTATTGTTTTAATCCTAAGTAGGTGAATACTTCATACTGACAACATATTAGAAAGAAAAATGAGATTCGTTTAATCTTAGTATTTTGCATTATTTGTCAATTATACTGTAATAGCATTACCATTAAAGCATTAATAATTAATATAGTAGTGTAAATAAGTTCTATAATTACAAAATGATCAATTAAATAATAGTATTCTAAATTAGTCTTAAATAAATATTAAAATTAATAAGTAAAATTTAATTTAAAATTGGTTATAGATTCAATCTTAGTATTTTACTTAATGATTATAATATTTTTTACGTTAAAGTATTATTTTTAGAGGCAAGATGAGTTCAAAACATCTTAGTAGATGTTGTAATCAAAATTCTTGCCAAATTATTGGAGGCTATAGATTTATTTATTTTTTACACAACATATTTTAATGTTTTTAATTTTATTTAATGATAAAATTACTTAATTAATATTCAAAACACGGTAATACGATTGAAAAATGAGATTAAAAATTAAATAAATATTTTTCTGTTTCTTATTATAAATATATTTTCAAATTAAGCATTATATTATTATAAAATTAACTAATTTCTAATCATTTATAATATTCATTTTTTTTAATAAATTTATTAATATTTTTAATAATATTTTTTATACAAAATGAATCATCATAATGTTTATTATAATTAAAAATATCAATGATATAATCTTAAATTTGATAAAAGATAATTAAATATAAATAATTAAAAAGAAAGATCAGAACTATTTATTAGTGATGTGATAATGTAAAAATGATTTACAATTATCTTTGCATGACTGGAAGTCATAAAAAATGATATTTTTCTTTTGGATACCATGTTTAGATAAAATAATAATAATAATAATAATAATAATAATAATAATAATAATAATTTAATCCCGTATTCAATTTATCTTCTAATATAAGGCATGAAGAGAATAACGAGAATTTTGGCCCTCTCCTTTCCAATTGAAAGAGAGTTTTGACTCATTCTGCAAAAACAGCGAAAGGGGCAAAATTGGGAATACGCGCCCCTCCCTCTTTTGGTAGTTGTAAATAAGGAATCTGAGTTATCCAACTCAGGAGAAACAACTTTCATGGACCGAAACGACCGCGTACCACTTTCTCTGCCACGCCCTAACCCAGATTCAATTACACCACATAATTTTCAAGTCCGATTTTTCCTATAAAAACACCAACCAAGTTCTTTGAAGTATAGACCAAAACAAAACGATAACACAAGTGCATAGCATAGCAGAGCAGAGAGAAATAATAATAAATATAATGGGGGTTTGGGCTATAGCGGTGCATGGTGGCGCTGGCGTCGACCCGAATCTCCCACCACAGCGTCAGGAGCAAGCCAAACAACTCCTTACTCGCTGTCTACATCTTGGCATCTCTGCCCTTCGTTCCAATGCTTCCGCCCTCGACGTCGTCGAACTTGTCGTACGTACTTCTTTTCTCTAAGTCCTTTCTTTTTCCCCTTATCTCTTTCAAAATGAATCTATACCCATTCATAATTCATATTATGACGTTATCTCAGGCGATTCGCAGAATAATTTTGCATTTAAATCTGTACAAAAAGCAGAAAGATTTTAATTTTACCAAACCGTAATCCGGCGAGTTTCTGCATGTCTTGTTCTCCATGCATGTACTTTTTAACCAAAGACACCAAAACACAGAACAATGAATGGTAATAAAATAATAATTAAATTCTTGAAATGTCGTAGCGTCGCGGTCACTGTCATAGTTGTGTAGAGTCTAAAATCCTAACGTTGCAATTAAAATTGCTCTTCGGAACCACTTTGTTAGAACATTGATGATGATGAATATATCTATTGTCAGAAATTTGAGATTATTGATTTACTTATTCTGTGCATGGGTATTTATTTGGTGGCGTTCTCGTGATTTGATTTCGTAAGTGCAGGTACGGGAACTGGAAACGGATCCCCTATTTAACTCTGGTCGAGGATCCGCCCTGACAGATAAGGGAACAGTGGAAATGGAGGCAAGCATCATGGACGGTACCAAGAGGCGATGCGGCGCTGTTTCTGGTATCACCACCGTCAAAAACCCCATCTCACTCGCTCGCCTTGTCATGGACAAGTCTCCACATTCCTACCTCGCCTTTAACGGCGCTGAAGAATTCGCCAGACAACAGGTTCAACTAATTCATTTCCATTCTCCGATTCATGGATGGTTCCTGTTTTTTTTTTCGCATGCAATATAAGAAACTGCCACAGCCTCGCTGGCGCCACCTCATCTCAAATATATATACCCTCGTTTATCACACATGTTCATTCTATTTCGGCGTAAATTTATATATTGTAATATAATAACTCATATTGTTGGGTGGTTATTAGGGTGTGGATGTTGTGGAGAACGAATACTTCATCACTCCTGAAAATGTCGGTATGCTGAAACTAGCAAAGGAGGCAAACACAATCCTTGTAAGCACACATTTTGTTTTATTTAATAAAAAACAAAATAAATAAAAAAGTAAATGTTTTTGTTTTTTTATGATGCAGTTTGATTATCGGATTCCAACGGTTGGACACGACAGTTGCGGCGTGGGGGTTGAGAAATCGTTGCAGATGAATGGGCTGCCGATAAGCGTGTACGCGCCGGAGACGGTGGGGTGCGTGGTGGTGGACAAGGAAGGAAGGTGTGCGGCTGGGACGTCGACGGGGGGTTTGATGAACAAGATGAGTGGAAGAATCGGTGACTCACCTCTGATAGGTGCAGGGACTTACGCGTGTGGGGTATGTGGGGTTTCGTGCACAGGGGAAGGGGAAGCTATCATACGTGGCACACTGGCGCGTGAGGTGGCAGCAGTGATGGAATACAAAGGCCTCGGACTTCAAGGGGCTGTGGACTTCGTGATCAAGCACCGCCTGGATGATGGCAAGGCAGGGCTCATCGCCGTCTCAAATACCGGTGAAGTGGCTTACGGCTTCAACTGTAACGCCATGTTCAGAGGCTGCGCCACCGAGGAGGGATTCATGGAGGTCGGAATCTGGGACTAGAAAATCACAAATAAATGCTTATATCTTCATCACGATTATGCAGTTGGGCTTGTTCTCTTTCTTTCTTTCATTTTTTGTTTTTTTCTTTTAAAATCGCTGTTCTAGTTGTACTACAGTTAGAATTAGCTCTTTTGTATTCTATTTGGGTCCGATAGATAATGCCAAAGATGTTTCCCAAAACACGTCCCACAACCCTTATTTTGGTGCTTTTCCTGCTAGTATTAACAAACCAACTAAATTTCTGAAAATGTAAAACTAACCACATTTGGTGCTATATCTATTTAATATTATTGTATAATTATTCTTCTTAATGATCTTGATTGAGTTATGAATGCATATTAAGGTCAGTGTTATATTATAAACAAAATAAATATAATCATATTATATGATGTATATTGTATATAATAAAATTATAATATATATTTATTGCTAAGACTAGTCATAATGTTCTCGTTTGTGTTTATAAACAGATAAGTATTTTATCAAGCCCAATAAAAATAAAAGTTGTGAAACTAGTAATTTTTACTGAAGAGAGCGTTCTAATTAGTGATTTAAAATACTAGTCAAAGAATGGAATAATTTTTTAATATAAATTTAGGGGATCGCGTTAGAAGTATGGATAACGCATTATTATGTATCAATTTTTAAAATTCTTTAATGGGTGTCCTGAGAGTTGGTTAGTATTTACCTAAATAATTATTTCAATAATTTAACTTTTATTTGAAAATATACATTAAAAAATAAATGATTTAAGTATATTTAATAAAAGTATAAGAATTTTTTCCATCCACTAGACTCATAAATACATCCCTTGCACATAATGAGCGGGCATTCCATAAATAAATTAAGAATGTATAAAAAAAGACATTTAACAACATTGAAAATATAACACTGAAAATATGTATGTATCCATATTTTTTATAGAATTTATTTTATTTTATTTTTCTCTATTTATTCTTTGAATATATGTTACATTCTTTCTATTTATTATATATTATAATTATTTTTCCTTTCTAATGACATCAAAATATTTATAAAAAGGAAAATATTTTTTTATATAAAATATAAATACTATTTTTTTAAAATATATCTACATAGAGAGATATGGTAACAACATTCTAAATATAATTTTGTTGGTTTCAAATAAAATAATATGTTTTTTAAATTAAATTAATAAGTTTAAAAATCTTCTAAATCCCATGCAGCCAGTACAAATAAAATATTATATGTTATTTAATATTGATTGGTCCAACCTCCTTCCTGAGCTAAAGATACAGTGAGCTTATAAATTTAGAGGCATTATCTTGTCTCGAAGGAGATAATGTTTGAAATTTAGTATTTACTAAAAAATAAAATAAAGATTAGAAAGAGATGAGAAAATATGATGTTTATCCTGATCTCACAAACAGGTCAGAAAATAACTTGTTTTTGTTAATCCTCATCTTTTATATACATATATATTTAGTTGGTAACTATGACATGTATTTAGTCCAGCTGTCTATATTTTACTTCAACAAATTGGCATCCTTCAAATTCAAGTTCAAATTGAAAATGTATAGATATATAATATCGTGGACCGTTCATGCGGTGTTAGTGTTTCGCCACTTTCCCCTTTTATGGCTATCGCTTCAGAGTCAGCGGAGATTTGTTTCTTACAATTTTTTATTTACAAACTATGAAGCTAATTCACTTTATTTGAACAAGTCTTCATCATTAGTTTTCTGTATATGATAATAGGCAACATGATATAGGATATATTATCATGCTTTATTTCAATCAATTATTTTATACTTGTGTTCTACACCTTTGTGTCATTCGCTCCTCCATAGCTGATGACATCGTTTTGGTCTTTGTTGTTTTTAATGATCTTGGTCTTCCCTGGAGAGAGTTTTGTGTCCATCCCTACTCGTAACCCCCTACTGTTTGATGAATTGTTTCATAGACTGGTTGATTTTCAAAATTTTCTGTAACTTGGTGAAAAACACTCCTCTGGGGCTCTTTTGAACATGTTTCGATTTATCAATTTTGTAACGGACGTGGTTACACTATAGAACATGTTCCAAGTCTTCACCAAAACCAGAAACACATCATGCGTAATGCCAATCATTTGAACATCTCCCAGGATTCACCCTCGTCTTATCACCTTTTTGTAGCAGATGGTAAACCTGTGAACATTAAGGGAAATTGTTTAACAGTGTTAACCACACCAAAATCCAAACCTTACCTTTCTAAATTTATATTCATAAATAATTCTTTCAATTTTAACCATCCACTGAAATAGAAATAGTTTATCTCCCCCACAAACACTAATGAATTCAGTGTACTCCTTACCTAAATCTTTGGTATCATACATGTTACAATGTGGAGACTATATTGACTTAGAAATTATTGGTTATATTATAGTTGATTTCTTATAACAATAACGGCAACTTTTTGAGTAAAGTACTCATGCTTTAATTTGGAATGATTCATATGCTCGATTTTTCTTGCAGACTTTGAAGTCTAATTACATGATTGTGTTATAACTATAATGGGTGAAAATGGCAATGACAAAAGAATCTTCTATAGGAAAGTTTTGTACATATTTGTGAAAAGTGTTATGAACGAGGGGAGCATATAAACATAAAAGGCACAATTATAAAGCCTGGTGGCCACATTACGAATTGGGCTTAGATTGTAATTTATATTTGAAGAGGGTACGAACTGAAGGAACGCATTAGCCATCATCTGCCCAAGATGGACCTGGGCCGGAGTCGAGAGGTGTAGCCCATCGGGCTGAAGAGGCAAACCATGAGCGTCCACAGTTCTCAGGTTGAGGAGGTCAATGCCTAACTGGGCTTGTCTTACTATCTCTATGTAAGGGCCTGATCCAGATGCCAAAGCTACCTACAGAATCAGACACAACAAATTTGGACCAAACATGAAAGGAAGAACAAAAGTGAAAGCACAAATCACATTTACGAAATTGTTTAGGATATATATTATAAATTTTTAAAATAAATATTCACCTCTTACTCAAGGGTTATTATTTCATTTTTAATTTTCTAAAATATAATCCATATTTTAGAAGAGTCAAATGCAGTTAAGAAGAGCACTATGAAAAAATTGAGAAGAACCCAAAATATAATTGATTAACTGTCATGTGATATGAAATATTTTAGGAATAATGTTGCATTAAAAATATATCCTTTATTCATTATAATGATGTAATATTATTTCTTTAAGTGAGGAAATTTTATTAACGGTGGCTAATCATGTTTGGATTATAAATATACGATAAATCTTTTTAATTTAAATAAATTAGGCCAATATGTGTTTATTTTAAAAATGGCTAAAATTATTTTTTTAAAATTAAATTTCAATTGTTAAACGTAATTGAAACATATATTTAAAATTAATTTTAGTTATACAGATTTGACGATAAAACAAAAAAATGTTGGTTAGTGAATCGGATTACATGACGTGTATATTGGTTGGAGTAAGTCGACATCATTGATGCTGAATGCCTATATTTTCTGGTTGCAACGACCCCAAAGCCATTCATATTTAGTATACTTGCTTCACCAATAAACATAAGTTGCACGACGCAAAATTATATTATTTTTTATATTTTCTATCTTAAAATAAAATAGGTATTTTTTTATCATAATAATAAAAATATAAAATTAAAAACGCGTAGAAATGTTATTATAGTATAAACATAGCATGTAAATCGGTCTAACAAATTAAATCCTCGTTATTTTTAGCTCCTAGTGTCTATTAAAAAGGCTACCCAAAGAAAACACTTGAAAATGTTGTTTTAATAAAATTATATATGAACTAATAAATGTTCACCATAGATTACAGACAGTTATGAAACAATTTAATATTTGATACAAAAACTATAATTAAATATCAGTAGTTATAAGTTTTCTGTAAAAAAATATTATAGAATTAATATCCAATACTTGAAATCTAATGTAATATATATATAGATGGTATCTAAAGTTTCCTAGAAATGGAAGATTCGTCCCTCCCAATTCCTTGCCAATAAATCTATTGTAATCTACGGCCAGTTTAGTTTTTCTATTTGTCTCGACATACGTAAACGCTCGTGGATATTGCTTCACTCCGAATTAAATAATGTGAACAGCAACTACTTTGTCTTGAAAACATGTAATCAACTAACAGAAGGCGAAAGCAAACCAAATCGACCGAAATTTAATGAATAATAAACCAGAGACTGAAGAAAAAAATGGTTTGAAGAAAAATAATGGAAGAAAAAGAAGGAAAAAGAAAAAAGAGAACCTGGATTATAGGAAGCAAAGGAGACTGTAGATCGTCACGAACATCCAGGAAGAACTTATGGACTCTTCGATGGTACAATTGTGCATCGTGTAGATTCACCGTGTCGGTTTCCCCTTGATACCAAAGCAAAGCACGAATGGTGCCACCGTCACGCCCCGATGCCTTCGCACGCTTTATCATCTCATTGTAAAGCTCTTTTCCTCGCTCCCACTGGCTTATGTTGGTGCCTCCGATCGCGCAAGGGACCAAGCCAATTTGACCAAATTCTCGGTGTTTTTCCAACACCGAGTTCGCGAATGTCATTCCTGGACCGACCCCGTTCGTTTTCTTAAAATCGATGTCCGCGTGGAGCGGCTCACGCGCCTCCACCCACGTCAGGTGCGCATCGAGCTTCAAAATGGAGGGGTTGGGTCGGGACTGGGGCGGAACGACGCCGTCCCATGTTGTGATCCCCGCGGCCGTGTCGTTGACTACGCCGCCCCGACCCGCCATGTTGCTCTGACCCGCCATTATGAATATGTTCCTATCGTAGCCTTGTGGCTTCACTGCCCATGCTTGAATCACGAATATTAACAATAGCAAGGAAGCCATGTTCTCTGAGGAAGAACCTCTTTCTCCACCTTCATAATATATATATATATACAATGTTTGCCTTTTGCTTTTCTTTTCACACTTTATCTGTCACTTGTTACTATTTAATTATTTGGAAATTACATAAATAATCAACAGACCACGAGAAACGAAATTATTGTTGTTTTTTCTTTCTATTTTTTTCTTGGGTATAGTGGGGCGCGTCAAAAAAAAAAAAAAAGTTTGAATGCATCCCTGAAATGGGTTTTAAGCGTTTACATATCATTCTTGACCAATTGTGCGTGACGAGAAAGTTTGATTAGGTTGCGAGATTCGCGGAAACAAGAATGTGATGACGACAATACGAGGTTCATGATATTCTTTTTTTCAGGCCCAAAGGGACCGTGCTTGCATTAACAAACAGGGACTCGTAATGGATTGTGATATCCCAATTTTAAAATATAACAATATAATAATAATAATAATAATAATAATAATAATAATAATAATAATAATAATAATAATAAAGATGATAAAATGATGTGAAAAAAGTATGGAGTTGTTTCGGTGGAATTTTGATTCGTTTTCGACTTAAGATATTTTGATCCTAATCAAAATTCTACCACGTAAGTTCTTTTTACTTAGGTTAGCAAATTAATTTTCAATTGAGATGCATATGAAGATCGAATTTTGCCCGATTTCAAAGATACTATTTTTGGTGTTTTATATTTAAAGTGCTCGAAGTAAAGAAAACAGAAAGTTCGTGGAATCAAAAAGCAGTGTTGAACATTAGATTGCAAAGAAACGTAACATACGGAAATCTTAAATTTGCTTTAAATGTAAAAGACAGGGAATCGAAACAGCAGAAATGTAAATAACAGGAAGTATAAATAACAGTAAATCAAATGTGCAGAAAGTATAAATAACTTGGAAATCGAAATTGCATTAATGTTAAATGACAAGAAAACTTAAACGCGGAAACTTAACTTTCATTGAATTGAAATGACCAAAAATCGAAAGCACAGAAACATAAAATTGCTAAAGATAAATTGCATCAAAGTAAATTACCAAGGAAAATACAGAAAACGGTAAAGGTACTCAATGAGCGTGGAAATCCAGATTGCCAGAAGCTTCATGATATTCGTCGTTTCTCCGGTAGACTTCTCACTAATGATTCTGTTCTCTGCCAATTTCTGCTCCCCCCCTTTTTCCTTTCATTCTTCGCCCTATTTATAGAGCATCCTTTAAGCAAGTAACCTCTTAGGAGCAGTTAATGAAAACTGCTACCACGTCCTACGTGCCTGTTGCAGTTTCTTCTTCGGTGTCAAAACTGCACCCACGTTCCCATGATCTTCGACCTCTGCCATGGTTTAAAAACTGTTTTCACGTTCCCATACATGAGGTAACTGCTTCTTTGACCTTGGACATTTGCCATTGTTTGCCATGTTTGATTGTACACGTTAATTGTTTCTTTCTTTATAACTTAACCAAGATTTCGATACATTGGTTAACCTTTCTCCGATGTTAATTTCGGAATTTCGAGAACATTTGACTTGCCTTTGATTTCTCTTAATCTTAACATTACATAATTCTCATTTCTCGATTTCATTCACTAACGGGTATTAAACATTCATCCTTCAATTCTCGATTCAAATTCTCGCTTATATTGTCACGTGGTCGTCGAACGCATTTTCTAGCTATCTTTCGATTTATCAGTCTTTAACTCAATCAAAAAGGGCTCTCGATTTGCTCCCATTTGTTTCTCGATCCCTTTACCGATTTCCCACTAACAAAATGCCCCCTTGGAAGAATATAAATAGTTTCTGTTTATATTCTTTCAACATGATTTCCGTCTTCGCGTGTTGGAGGCCCACAATAACTTAGGTTTTAGGGTATCTGGGGTTTCAGGGTTTTTGGGGTTTTAGGGTTTCTTTTTGCTTTATGTCGCCGTCTCGTTAGTCTGCTGCCTTGCAGTGCAAGCCACATTAATTGCCTTTGCTTCCGTCGTTTCCAGCACCCTAGGTAGTTTTCCCCTTAAACTCTATTAGTTTTTTACTCTGGTTTTTTACGCGAATTTTTTACCTCTTTGCAACATCGTCTTCCTCCTTGAGCTCTTGCCTTCGTCCTTGCTACTCCACCTGTTAACCTCTATCCTGCTGCTTTCTTTAGCTTATTGAAATGGCAACTTCGTCCAAGTCTTCTGATTTTTCGGCTCCACCTCTTCCTTCGCTGACGGCTAACCTTCTGGAGATCAATAACCAGAAGTTTGCTCCAGTTCCTCTTATGGAGGAAGCTTCTCAGAAAGTCGCTGAGACGCAGGTACTCATTCCTTACACTGCTGATGGTGTTAATTTTGGTTTTGGGGGTCCTATTCGTTCTAGTAGTGAGACTTTTTCTTCCTTCATCCTCTCGAATAGTCCAGCACTTATTCACCACCTTGAAGTTCGGATTAATTTTTTGACTATGGTCTCGAGAGTATACCGGACGGGTCCTCCTTCCAAAAAACCTTCTTTTATTAGGTGGTTTGATAGAGTAGAACCCAAGTTTGGGAACCACTGGAGAGATGTAGGGATTTTTTATTTTTTACACCTATCTCGATGCGACTTGTCGTTTTTGGATATGACAATGTTTTTGTCTGCGGTGCATTTGTGGAATAAGGAATTACATGCTTTGGAGTTGTCCTGTGGTCCCCTTTCACCTACTCTCTTTGAGGTTGCTGCTATAACCGGACTAAAACCCACTGGGGAAAAGTATTATAGGGGTGCTTACCCTTCGGATAATTCTTTGAGGTCAAAAATCGATTGGGAATCGAAGGTCTATGGTCATTTCCTTGAGAAGCATTTCGTCGATGACGAATCGATAACTGTGACTGACGAAGAACATCTAGCCTTTTTGGTGTATTGGCTATGTACCCATGTTTTCTGCTCCCGATCCATCCAAATTTCCTCCCACCTCTACAACCTCGCCCACCTCCTCCATACTGGCCGGCCTAGGATATGTTTGGCTAAACTTTTGTTGGCCCACGTGTATACTACTTTCAACGAAGCTGTCGACATTTTGAGTACTCTTAAAGCATCGGGAAATTTCTCTGGCCCTATTTGGTTTGTACAGTTATGGCTGAACTCGATTTTTGAGAGCATCCTTCCCCCAACTTCCACTATCCCCCTAAGTGTAAATATCGAAGGTGCTCGATTGTCTTCTCGCCACCCTCACCACAAGCCTGACGAAGCGGCTTACTGTAGATATCTTAAGTTTTTGTTAACTAGATTTAATTTCGATTCAACTTTGGCTCCTTTTACCGTGCATCTTGGACGAATCAGCGACCAACTTCGAGGACCAGTTTGGTTTAAGTCAAAATTCCCTTCCTTAACTCCTGGGTTGCAATCGGAGTTGGTTGATGTATGGAGTAGTTATTTGACCCATGATGTATTAGTATCGGGTTTTCAGTCAAAAGATTTCAAGCTCATCACCTATTACCCCCAACTTTTCTCGAGACAATTTGGTCTGAGTCAATCCACACCTTTCTTCCCCCTCGATACCTCCCCAAGGTCCAAGTTAAGTGAGTCGACAATCGGACGGGAGTTGACTAAACTACTACCACAAACCCCACTACTTTTTTATCCCTATACTTTTGAATCAAATTATTTGTCAACTGTGGGTTTCTCTCAATGGTGGGCTGATTGGTTCTCGAGTAATCATTCTGCTTTTGACGAAGTCCGACAAAAATTGACTGCTCATCCTTCTCTTATGTTGCAGGACAAATCGAAAGCGAAGAAAGGTACACACTTCCACTGTCTTCAAATATCTCGATTCGAGAATTTTTATCAAATATGTTACAACCCATTGAAATTAGAATCGACCTTCTATGATGCTGTTATTTCCTTATCCCATAAAACAACCACAAATCGATCGAACCACAAAATAATCAATCCATTAGGAAAAACACCTTTTGAAATGTATTGCCCTAGTCACCTTCCCACTTTTCCTACAGCACCCTTTGGGATCGCCAAACCTTTAACCCATCCCAAATGGGTTCGAGAATTGAGATCCCTGAGGGAAACACTTCGCCCGAAACCCAAAAACAAAGACATTTTTGTATCGAAATTGTCTTATTACCCTTACCTATATCTTCCTCGAATTCTCCTTCCTCCCTGGCTTGTACCTATCGATCGAGTCACGATCTTGACTCCATCACCTTTTGGTGAGATTTTACTGCCTTTTCATGTTTTTTTATTCTGTATATTGTAAGCTAATCTGTCTTCTTTTATTGACAGTTTTGAAGTCCACCAAGGCCTTCGCTGTCGAGAAAGGTCAGGAGAAGGAACAAGAGGATTGGGAGTCCTCAGATGAGTCGGACCCATCGGCCTTCGTCAGAAAACACAAACATTCGGCCACCATTTCCTCATCTTCGAAGAAATCGAAGGTTCTTTTTGATTTCTCATTGTTTTATTCATTTTTCTGTCTGGTTGATCCACATTCTTATACTTATTTCTTTTCGATTCCTAATTTTAGAAACAAAAATCGAAGAGTCCTCGATCTGTTCAACCAACTGCTGTTAATCCATTATCGACGGACTCTAATACAGTCACTAAACCGGGTCAAACAACACCCACCACGCATTCCAGTCACGTAAGTCCCTCTTCTACATCATTTTATATTCCTAGATTTCGATAAGATCTTGTTACATGATTTCAATTCTCGATATTTTTTTCAGGATCATCCATCGGCGACTATATCGACAAATGTCGATTCTCAAATTCAAACATCGACACCCCCTCCTGAGGTACTACTCTTATATAATTTTGTATGTGTTTGTTTGACTTTTTATATATTTCCTGTTCTGATATTTGTTTTCGATTTATAGCAACCTGAGGCTATTCAGATTCTTCCTCCTGCCTTAGCACCCCTTGCTCTACCTCCCCCTGGTACTTAAAACTTTTCCCTTCACTGTTGATTTTTCATATCATTCTTCATTATGAATTCTCGATTCACCTCTTTGATTCCTTTTCTTTTCAGTAAAT